CCGCTCGGTATACCGTTCCGTACCGTACCGAGCGAACGTCGAAATGCCGGTACGGTACGATATTTCGAACCTTGCTATAAGCAACTCGATAAAAGAGAAACAACACAACCATCTTATACTAGTGCAAGCAAGATGACTAAGTCTCAATGAAGCAAGCAACAACAGTAATATGGACAAGCAATAAGAGCCAACCATGCCGTGCTTAGTCTTTTTTTCCTCGAAGGCTTTCATCCGCAGATCCAAGTTCACTAAATCAAATAAAGTCTGATACTCATCCTGAGACCAGGTCCCTGTGCCAAGAGAAACAATAGAATTAAACAGATGGATCAAAAATGAAATGCTAACTGAATGAACAACCAAATATAAGCCAAATTCACTCCATCCTGGAAGCTGTACAGGTAATTATTAGCAAAACACTAAACATGTTCAGATCACACCTTAAAATGCTAGAACAATCTGAACCTTAATTGCAATGCATATCCTCACCACATATATCAGGATTTAGCTTGATAAACTTACATTTAGCAGGGCACCGAAAATGAATGAGAAACTTCAATTTTGTAACCAAAAATGGACTTGAAAGCAGGGAAAATAGTGGAATAAAATCTTCAAGTAAAAAGCTATATTTGTCTCTTTCGATATTTAACAAATTGTCAAATCTACATACACTTAGACATGCTTTACTTAATAAAAGAGCTAGCTATCTGTCATATTCATGTAACCATAGCCTGCACCTTAAGCAAAAGAAACGAACTTTAGCAGTCTACAAGCCACTAACCTTTAAAACTAGGCCAATAACAAATATAAGAAAAATATTTCTAGTGGTTATTAGGGAATGACAACATGGGAGTCCAAGTGATCATTGGTTTAAGCAAGTCAAATGCTATCTCAAATTATGATGAATTCTCAGATACAAATGTATCTATATAACATAAACACTACACTAGCATTAATTTGTCTTATAGCAAACGTTTTTAGTTATTGTAATCTAGTAAGGGTCACCTATAAGCACGAAAAACTCATTACCAAAACTTTCAATTCTGAGGAGATTGAACTGTGGAGAAACAACAGACTAAATAACTGTCAGAAAATATTATACAATATTATACCCCGTCAGAACAGCTACTATCAAGAAATCAATAATAACAGAAATCATACCTCTTCTAAAATTAGGTGATTTTATCCTCCGCCAACAATCTTTAAGATGTATCCTATGTTTCCTGAGTTGGGCTGCTAGAGTTTTCCAGTCTGCTCCATGTTTTGCATGGAACCTATATGCACATGTTACCAATGGTAAATAGCAATCTGCAATGTAATAGAGTGATGTCTTCACTATAATAAGAAAAAATTATGAAAACAAAAAACTTCATATCATGCAAGCTGTCAAGTGTCAGTATTTTTAAAATTTAATTTTTGATGCCCAAAACTTGGTCAGCTGTAGCATGACCCAAGTGGATCTGGCTTTGCTTTCACACACACAATTTTATACCAAAATACCAACAAACAGCTAAAACTGATAGATTGATTTATGTCTAGGAGAAATAAGATCATTTGCAAAACAGGGCGTCGAGCTATATATTTGGACCACATGTTGGGTCAGTTCAAGAATGATCCATATATCCCAAAAAAGCTGCTTTATTTGCCATCAAACAAGTGTCCTAAAAGCTAATGCAAGAAAGCATAAATAACAAAGGGAACAAGGATAATACAATACAAGATAAACTTCTATAAACAGTTCTTCCTTAATGACAATCTCTTGTGGTTGATTTTTTCTGCATTTAGAACTGGTATGATATGGATGGCATGAACCGGTATGCAGATCGCCTCCATTTCAGATGCTCCGAACTAACCAATAAAAAAAAGAAAAAATAACTATTTCACATGTATAGGGTTCCCATTCGCGAGCCCTCTTCCCATCATCTATTTCGGGTATGCTTCCTCCTCTTCTCTTTCTCCACCTCTTCCTCCACCACTTCCTCCTCATCCTTCTTCCTCCTCTTCCTCCACGAGAATCTGTTCGTTCCTCTTCTCCTTGTTCTTCTTCCTCTTTGAGTCTTCAATATGTAATGGGGTACCATGTGTCGAAACACCGGTACCGACCGGTATGTATCGATTTGGCCAAGGACCAATACATCAGTACAAGACGACAAACCTTGCTCTGAATAAAATAATTTGCATTTGATATTTAAGTGTACTGCATAGTATAGTATTTATAAGTTAGACAACCTTCCTTGAATCCTGTAATTTTTGATGCATTTGAGTTGCAACAAAAACATATTTCCTTACCCCCTAATGACAAAATAATTTGATTTGATATAAATTCTTAGAATCAAGCTTATATGAAAAGCATGGCATCCATTCTCCAAAATAAGTATTAAATATTCATTAATTAAAAATGAGAAACTTAAACTTCAAGTGGAAATTCATAGTTTTCCAAATATTGTTTATATAAAGTTTTACTGAACAAATCTAACTAGTTTTATCTCATGGGCCTAAGATGCTCATCAACACTAAAAGGTGAAGTCAAATTTGACCGACAGAAAATAACATGCTTTCTTGTATTGCTCGATGACTACTGCCTGGTTGCAGCTTTGCATGGTCCAAAAAAGTGCAGGATTTTGTCCAGCATACATGCACATAGGCAAATTAGCAATTAAATGATTAAGATATTTTAACAATGACAACTTTTTTTCAAGTATTTTAATAAATAAATCATATTTTCTTATAGAAACTTCAAAGTTCAATAGATTTGTCATTTATGTTGTTCTGGTAAAGAAATTGAGCTTTAAATCAAGCATGGTTGTTGTCTGTTGAATATCTTATATGTTTATTACATTGAAATATTTAGGCTCAGCACTAAAATATTTAGGAAGTTTATTAGATAGTTTATTTTATGTGCAAGTACCATTTCTGATTCCTAGATAACCAGTAGAAGCCAAATATGACTTATGTAGCGTATATAAAGATATTCAGGGACAAATATCTCAAACCACATTAAGCACCATAACTAGAACAAACAGGAAAGTAGAATTCCAACTCTGAGCCATGAGGGGGTTTGGGTTACCTCCGAAGGATATCATATTCCTCAGGATCCCACTTACGCTTCTCACTCCTTTCTAGTAGAACATGAGCTCGATAATATACAGCAACATAAGGCCGACGAGGCAAACAAGCACCTGTGGAGAAGAATGGATGACAAGTAATCCTCAGGATAATCTAAGGACAATGAGATTGGATGACTGAAGATATTCTAAGCAACTCATAACTTTAAAACTAGCCTAGCTGACAGGAATAGATGCATTTACCTTAATATTCCAAAAACATGTTACAGCACTAACAATAACATAAAAGCAATTTGCTATTACAAGGAAAATTAATGTAAGGAGGCCTCTAAGTGCTTCAAGGTGATACAACAAATATAAAGAAGAAAAAGGAGAAGCTCAGCTAAAAGATTAAGAATTAGCCAAAATCAGATAAAAATTTGTTTCATAACTTAAATAATTACAGCACAACCATGATTGAACATTACAATTAAAGAGGCAACCTACTGCCAGAATCAGGATATATTTTTTAAAGATCTGCTGTAAATTTAAAATGTTTAGAACTTACATATTCTGTTAGAAAGTTCAAAAACCATACCTTAAAAGATATATATTCTGCTAGAAGTGCAACAACTATATTGCAAAAGATACAAATTTTGTCAGAGTGCAACAAAAAATATATAGAATACACTTGTCAATAATCGATTCGTAAAATGAAATATACTAGAAAGGCTCAATGCAAATTACTGCAACTGGTCACTGCATGACTGTGCAAAGAAACTAAAGTAATGAAGATCCCTTGACCCTAGTGGCCATCATTACCTACTTGGAAGTGAAAGAAGCTGACCTAATGCAGTTACATATTCATCCCAGTTCCCAAAAAACGAGGCAGCATATGCTGCAACAATCACATGCTGCTCTACAGCTACCAAAAAATTTTATACACTTAAAGTAGTCAAATTATGATTCGCTCGGTTAACTTTTATTAGCTCAACAAGCTGGTCTTTCCAAGACTCAAAAAAGCTCTGCAAATAGTAAACTCTTGATCCATTATTTTTAGCCAAATGGACTAGATAGTGCAATTTGCTCAAAGCCTCAGTCATACATAGGTAAACATTGAGAAAACTAAAATTAGGGGGGCAAAATAAAGGAGAAAATAGAGAAGAACTCGAATATCCTCGGTTAAACGTGATAAGTAAATAAGCAATATCAGGATCAGTAAATGAATGCCTACCGATTTCCTTCCAACAACTTTTTATTTCTGGGTAATTTTTACAGTTGAGAATCATATGCTTGCCCTCCTCTCCCAACTGATGTGCCTGAAAGATAAAGAAACATTATGACACAGTCCAGGGGATCAAAATGAACTAACAACAGTAATACATCATCCGACAGCAATGAAGAAAATGAAATAAGTTATAAGAAGCATCTTCAACAATTTAATTAATTCATACGGAGAACGTAAGAGAAAACATTGCAGGAATATCTATTGGGAGCCTAAAAGATCCTTATAAAGTTAGCTCTTTGTCAATGAAAATATGGTAGTTTGACAGTAATTCATGACAAGATTTTGTGGCAACAATAGCATTCCCAATAGCAAGACTGCAAGACAATGCCCGTACAATTTCTGAACCTTCAATTAGAAATGCAAGTAGACTAACCAGTATATACTCATCTATTGCTTCCTTAATCTTTTTGTCTTCCTCTGGAGTAAAACGTTTGCCTTGGATTAAAGGTTCTTCAGTATTTTCATTGTTCATGTTCTCATTCCCAGCAGGAAACACCTCAACTTCACTTGAAAAACTCACTTTCTTTTTATTTTTCTTTAGTGCAGATGTATCAGAACCATCTTTGGTGCGCTTGCCTTTGTTTTTTGTATCAGAAGCCTCAAAGTCATCAGAGCCTTTCTTCTTTTTCTTCGTGCTAGATATCTCTCCATTTCCTTCAGGTTTGGCAGCAGGAGATTTTTTCTCTGTCTTCTTGTCCACCAAATTTACTTCATTTTTGGAAGGTCCTTTGGCTGTTTGGTCATCTCCTTTTTTATCCTTCTTTTCCTTGTTCTTCTTTCTTTTCTTGCCAATTGCTGTTGCATGAGATGCCATTTCACTAATGCCATCTTCTGCAGCCTTGTTGTCTTCGATGCTCAATGACTGCTTAACTTCCTTCCCCGTCTCATAGCTACCATTTTCAAATTCAGGGTTATCAAATGCCTTCTCCCTCTTCGTCCTCTTTTTATAACCTGAAGTTTGAACTTCTTCATGGTCTTTCCTCCTCTCCTCCATTTCATCCCTTGACCCAACCTTACACCTGCCAAAACCAAGATTATTTTCTAAACTTGCATCTGCAGCATTTCCAGCAGTCTTGTTTTCGTCTGTACCAAGAGCACTTGCTGTAGACATTCTGTCCTTCTTTCTCACCTTCACCTCTGCATGTACAGACAACCTTGCTCCTACATCATCTCCCTGGTTCCTCTTCCTCTTCCTGCTTTCCTCCCCTTTTTGTGCCTCATCTTCTTGGACATGATTAACCCTCTTATCACATTCTTCATCACCATTCCCGTTCTTCTTTCTTTTATTCTTCTTCTTCTTCTTGTTGCCATCCTCTTTTGAATCCAATTCTAACTCTGCCTCTATCCTCTCATGTTCTTGAACCTTGTCATCAGGATTTTTTTGATTTTTCTCAAGATCCTTACTTTTCTTCTTCTTATGCTTCTTTGAAGCTACTTTAGCTTCCTCCAAGGCTGCACTCACATCACAGTCATCGAAACCCTGTTCCACTTTATCACCGCTCTCACCATCCATCCTCTTGTCTTTCCGCTTTTTCTTCCTATCCTTCTTATCTTTCTTGTTCTCAAGTTTGTTGCTTTCCTCTTTTGCTTCGTCTTGCATGATTAAGTGGAGTGACCTTTTTCTCTTCTAAATTATTCCTCTTAAGTTGGCGTACGTCAAGCAAATCTGAAACCACAAAAGCAAATCCAACGAATAATATATCAGAAGCGAGAGCGAAAAAGAGGGAAAGCAAGTGATCGGGGAGGTGGCTGCCGATAGAGAGGGAGAATACCGACAGAAAAGAATGGAGAGGGAGGGGGTGGGAGGTGACTGCCGGGAGAAAGCGAGACGGCGACAGCGGGAGGTGGCTGCCAGGCAAGGAGGGGGGGAGGAAGACCAAGCAAGAAAGCAGGGGCGGGGCTGCACCGCCAGGAGGAGACAGAAAGATAGCGAGCGAGGGGAGAGAGCTAACGGATAGGAAGGTACCACCGTCCGCGAGAGAGGGGGCACCGCCGGGGCAATAAAGGGTCGGACTAGGAGTAAATTAGGGTTTTTAACTAGGAATCACGTCGGTAGGGTACCTGCAAATTTATCCCTGTCCTTTCTCAATCCAGTGATTTTGCACAACACAAGCGCTCCCCGAGGGAAAGGAATGCCTAAATTTTTGGTCAGAGTCTCGTCGTCGCAGGACGAACTAACGCTTACACTAAGAGAGGAACGGGACCAAACCGGCATCGACTGGGCAAGAAAGCCCTACGCCCTTACCATAACAAAGAACACAGAATAATACGAGAAGCTTAGGATTAAACGGTGGCCGTACCAAACAACAGCTAGGGTTTACGATGCAAAGAGTTAGGAATAAGAGGGACTCGTACGACTTCCGTCAGGTGGCGATGACGACCGCCTTGCGCGGTGCCACGCTCCGCCCGCTTCCGGATCTCGCTGCGAACGGAGGAGGTGGGCGATCCCTGTCGCTTGCCGAAGGTGTGGTTCTCGTCCGCGGCCAAGCGGCTCAGGGCAGAGGTGTCACGCGGTTGAGAAAGTGACGAACAGCTGCATCAGGTGATGGGTTAATATTGACCTCTGATCCGACCCGTTTTTAGATCCGACTACGTGCCCGAATCCGCTTCAAATCCAGTCCGAAATATTTTTTTTCTTCTTACCGTAAATTTCAATTCTGGTTAATCAATAACATATATCAATTTTGACGGGAGTAGACTCTTAGAAAATATTGTAATGATGATTTTTATATATAAATTTTAAAATACTATTGCATTCACCACATTAATATCAATATAATATGTATATTTTTCAAATATTAAGATTCTACATATAATCTCATTAAAATCCAATCAAAAAAATCGTATTGATCGCTATCAACATCGATTATTACTAATTAATTCAATTTCAAAAATATAAAAAATAAAAATAAAATTATCTGTAGTTTATTAAAATAGTGACAACTATTTTTTTTGACATGGATAAATCTTTTTTTTTCTCTCATAATGTTTCTTTTAGATTTATTCTCATAAACTCTTATTTCACAAAGGATGAACATGTCCTTAAAGATGACATAGTGGAAGATGGAGGAGGGTCAAAGAGGATGAAACATGCCAGGATGAGGGCACACAACTAATTAGGCCCAAGGTGACAAAAAAGAATGCTCTATGGAAAAAAAAAAAAAAAAAAAATTTAAGATTTTTTTGAGAAATTGAACTTTATGATGGAATTATAAGCTATAAATAAACGTTGAAGAGATTTGATCGAAGCTATTTATTCTAAAAAAGGGCTATATCTCCCGAAAACCACAAAAACTTGAAACTGTTTTGTGTCTCCAGCACGCTAAGTCAACCACAG